AAAGTAGGAGCCTAAAGTGGCACCATCATTTTGAAGTTGTAATATTACAACAGTTAATATATTACCTATGCATTGTGCTTATGAATCTCTGTCGACGGTAGGCTGGGAAAGACCTATGCATTACTTGTACTAAAATAATCTCTTGATTCTGCAATTTAAGTCCTCTTCATAATGTTTACTCCTTTGTTTTTGCAGGAAGCTATGGAAACTATACGGGCAGAACCTGTTGCTAATGTTGTTTTCAAGGTCCTCTCTTAGCCAGCTGCAACACCTTTTTTTAAAGAATGTTGGTATCAGGACAAGCTGCTCCAGACTTCGGGAACGACTTGCTGCTCATCAGAAAAGTTCAGCTGTCCTCGCCGAACAAGTGGATCAACTGAAGAGGAAGGCAGAAAACATTGATAGGGAGTTTGAGAAGTTCAAGAAACAGCAACAGGAGAAGAACAATAAGCTCCGTGAGCATATCATGATCTTAAGCGCTGGTAACTCAATCTTGTTGATGTAGTGAACATGTGGTTTGTTTACTGTTTTGATGTAAAATTTTGGCGGATTGATATGTGAACTCTGTCAGTGGTTTGCTACTGAGCTGAACTGCTATTATTTGATTCAAGTTCAATATAATTATGCATATAGTCATTTTGTGCAGCCTCAATGTAGATATGTAATAATTTTTTTTGGTGTAATGATTGATGTGCACGTGGTAGATTCGGCACATGCACGTTGTTAAATAAGAATCTAACACATGAATGAACCAGTGACACGTGTAACAGCCACGATAGGGCACGTGGGCCAATACAAACAAAATACGTGGTACAAATCCATCCTACCATGTGGTTGAATCAAAAAAAGAAACGTGGGTAACTCAGGGCGCGACACGTGGCCCAATAAAATACTGACACGCGGACGTATAGCATCGAGACACGTGGTCGAGTAAAAGAAAGACACGGGGTATTGTGGTCATGCCACGTGGACCAATAAAAATACGACACTTGGTCCAATGAAGAAGTGACACGTGACCCAACCGCAACACGACACGTGTGCCAATAGAAAACTGACATGTGGAACAACAGAGTCCCGACACGTGGTTCAGTAAGAACCTGAAACATGCAAGAACCAGAGATGACCATGTTGTGTAATAAGAAGGTGACACGTACCCGAACCATCTCCAATGTAACTGGCTATAGCATATTCACGTGGAAAACATCTCCAACAGAAGCACCCGCCAGCGTGGCTGCCCCTTGCCACGCATGCCAAAGCAGTTCTATGACGATCAGAAATCGTCATAGAATTGCAAGAATGACGCGACTTCTAGAATCGTCATAAATTCATCATAAAACTGAAATTATGACGAATTTGGCTCCTTCAGTGGCGAAAACTGATCGTCATAGAAGTGGATATTCCTAGTAGTGAAAGATAACGATTTTTACTCAAATGACTCTCTAAAAGATGATTTAAAGAGTAGATTTTAAAAGACTCTTGAAGATGCTCTTACACGTCCGCTAACACGTGCCCCAATTTAAATTAAACCTAGTACTAGTAGGCAACATGGTATCCTCCCTTGTGTACCACCACACCAAGAAAGTGTAATATATGACAGGAACTTTTAATTTAATGTGACCCCTCTGTCCCACGCAAAGATATGATTTATAGCTTATTTCAATTAAAGTAATTATGAAGATCAATGACCTCACTGCCCTTGGTAATAACAGTATCTCCAAAAGTTCCTGTTATTCGTCTCTCTAGAGCTAAAACTAACACCGCTACATAAAAGATTTTGTGAGATACTACCTTATAAGGTTTATGTAACAAAAATCATCCTCCAACAGTCCTATTATTCAACATCTTATATTTAATAATGGTATTCTAAATTATCCACTCCAAGCCTCCTCTTAAATTTAAAATGTCATGTTGTCCATCCTATATATTATTTGAGATATGGCAACTGTTGAAGAAGAGAAATATTTAGAGATGATTTTCTGTTAGAATGTACCCTATATAAGGATTTAGGAGAATTATCCACTCAAAGCATGCTGCGCACAGTCAAGTTCATGTAAGATAGAGAACCAAATACAGTTGCCACAAACTGAATGGAGCAATGATCAGTCTGAACTACAAAAGCTCTCTTGGGTGATGGGTCTTATCAGTGAGGGATCGTAGCTCCATTGGCCACATTGTTGGTAATTCTCCATTCCTACTACTCAATTTTGTTGCAGATCCGAATATTGCTATATATGTTCCAAAGCAAACTCGAGTTTGAGATAATGTTCTAAAGCAAACTTGCTCTTGTGTTGTAGGCCACTACTTCTTGCAGTCCTCTGGAGTGCATACTTGTTCCACACTCCTATCCGTGATTGATAAAAAGAAGCAATTGATGACAGACGTTTCTATTCCCAAAGGATTGTCTGAAGTCCTGAAACTTTCTTGATCTGGCAGCACTGTTAGAAGACAATGTGGTAAGTATTTTTTTTTTTTATAATCAACAACTTAAGGCTACCTTTTCTTTAGCTCTAGTGATGCAATCTCTTGTACTCGATGCGTATTTAACTATAGTTGGATTATCCTGTGTAGTCTGTAGAGCAAAATCTGTGTCTATCTCTTCTCTGAACTCTGAAGTGAAAAATGCCCAAAACAGGGCAAATTCTGTTCCCACCAGGCACCACAATGTCATATACATTTTTTCCCCTCTTCTGCTTGGAAAAGTGCTTTCAGATCTAGAGGAGTCGCGCTTGGAACATTGGAACTTGAAAATGGAAAAACAAACAAGTCAAGCAACAGGACATTCACTGATCTAGAGTCACAGTTCATGGCAGTAAAAATGTGCTCAAGAGTTCAGTGAAGTGGGCTGCATTGTTCTACGAAAATAATAGAGATAGACTGCACGCAAGAGAGGACGAGCGAAAGAAACATCTGCCTGTTGGAGCCATGTACAGAAAAGGTTTGTCCTGAGAACAAACTCCGAAAGCTATGATGATACGTGCCACTAGTTCATGCGTGCGTGCATCTTCGATGATCTCGATATTTGTCAGGATCGGAGCGCATTGATGCATATATATACTATATGCATGTGTGGTGTGGTACCATTCCATGTATTTAAGCTAGGTACAGGTCTGAAATGTCAGGTACCAACTAAACCAAACAAACGTCCAGCCACTGGCCTTTGCTACCTATGGCATTCTCTTGCCGATTTGTATGGACGTGCTGTGCACGCCCCACACTGACGGATCGGAGGTTGCACTCCGGCTTGTAGCAACGTCCAATCTGAAGCAATGAAGCATGGCCTGAAATTTGCAGTTCATCCATGCCATGGTGATGATGAATGTGCGCATCGATCGTCTCAGGCAACCCGCAAAGGAAATGTTGATGCAATATTCTTCGTCAGTTTATTTATCATTCGTAGTAGCTAGCTAGTTAGTGGATGAATTATGATGAGATCAGTAGATGAGATGAACTCATCAAACTATTACCACCATGGACTAACTCTCGCAGTCTCGCGTGACTGCAAGTGAAACTGAAACTGGATCCATGCTTAATCCAGGGCAGAACTCCTGCCTGTTTCAGTCATTTATTTCAGAAAAAAGGGAAAAAACTGCAGCTTGCGGCACCCAGATCCTACGCCATCGCCACCAACTTTAGTTCTGAAATGCTCCCTAATCTCAGTATCTCACGCTACTTTAATCATCCAAAGGTTTCACAGTTTTTTTTTTGAGGAAACGATTTCACAGAAAATTAGTGCTTATTAGTGGTAAACTAAGGTCCTATTTAGATCCATTAGCTGCTAATGGTTAGCTAGCTAATAGCTAATAGCTAATAGCTAATGTTAGCTATAGCTAAATATTAGCTGGTTTTGCCCAACTAGTGAGGTAGTTGTCTAATAAAAGAAACTAATTATTAGCAACTAAATATTAGCTCTATTTGGACGGCCGAGCGTCAATTTCGGCACGGCCTACAACATTCCAGTACTTGTGTTCTGTGTGATCAAGAAGTGGAAACGATAGACCACATTCTTCTTGGATGCTCCTTCAGCCGTGTGGTTTGGCATATTTGGCTGTGCAAGCTGCACCTGCAAGACTCCATTGTACCCAGCCAGGAACCGGCCTTGCATTGGTGGTTAAAAAACAGGAAGCTCATCCCCAAGCAGCAGCGTCGTGGCTTTGACTCGTTCTTCTTCCTCATCGGCTGGGCGCTTTGGAAGGAGCGTAATGCAAAAACCTTCAACAGCTCGATAACCACGGCTCAGCAGCTCGCGTTATTGGTGCAGGACGAGGTGGAAGCCTGGTGCACGGCCGGGTTCAGGTGCCTCCGCTCACTCGTGGCCAGGATGTGAGGCTTCCCGGCTGTTTCGTGTGTTTTTAGTCGCAAATTAGTTGCTATGTAATCGCTTTATGGTGCTCGTTGCTCATTGTTCATTGTTCGTTGGAGTACGGTAACCTTGGATTACCGTCTCCAAGTTATTGTTTGAAACTCCTTTCTTCTTAATGAAAAACGCGCTTCGGCGTGGTCGGAAAAAAAAAATATTAGCTCTATAGATCCAAACAGGGCCGGTAAAAAGGGACTCATCATCATCTACTGCGTGCTCAGATGAAAATCGACCTTGGCCATGGCAGATTTCCATCCTCAGTCCAAGGCAGAGGCCGGTAAAAAAGGGAGATCCGAAGTTATAAAACGCTCTCTAATCATGGGGACGTTACGCATGAGATTAAGGGTCTTGCTGCCAAAGAAATGATGATGACATGATGCCACCCGTAGGATCGGATGCGTTCTTTTCTTTCCATCCAAAGTTAAGGAAAAGAAATGAAAACGCTTCCGATCGATCCGCCTGATGACCGCCTCTCTCCCAATATAAACCCTAGCCAGCTCACTCATCAGAAGCACCCCATCAGCCACACCAAAACCACTCTAGCTAAGCTACGGTAGCTCCATACATCCCTCACTAGTCACAACGTCCTGTGTACGTGCTCTGCAGATCAGATCAACCGAGACCGTACCAACAAGAAGACCACATGGCTCGCCCTGCCAAGCAGCAGCAGCAGGTCGCGGCGGCCGTCGTGCTGGTGGCGCTGCTGGTGGTGTGCTCCGGCACGGCACCAACAACGCCGGTGAGCGGCGCGGTGACGTGCGCGCAGGTGGTGAGGGACCTGACCCCCTGCATCAGCTACGCCATGGGCGCGGGCGGGGCCGGCTCCGCGCCCGGGCAGGACTGCTGCGCGGGGATCAAGAGCCTGGACGCGGCCGCCGGCACGGCCGCCGACCGCCAGGCCACCTGCGCCTGCCTCAAGCAGGCCACCGCCAGCATGGGCGCGCTCAAGCCCGACGTCGTCGCCGCCATCCCTGGCAAGTGCGGCGTCGCCATCCCGTACCCCATCAGCCGCACCACCGACTGCTCCAAGTACGTAACTGCTGTTATGTGTTAGTTTTTTATTGCGTTGGTTTTTATCCATGCATCATCCTCAACGATCGTCGCCGTCCTTGCTGGACATCTTTGTTGTTGTGATTTGCAGGGTGCAGTAAGATACTACACTAGTAAGGAGCATGAGAACAATAAATAAATAAAGCTCGATGCATAGATACATCGAGGAGCTTAGTACTCACTATTTGTCTCCTCATCTGGAGGAAGACGACGGAGCTGATGAGAAATTAAGTAAACCCATAGAACGCTGACCTTGTACTTCTATGTACACACTACTTCAAATATATGAATCAAAAGTACAGGTCTTTTATCATAATTCATGCATATGCATACATCCACATGCATGCCATTTCTAAGTTGATAACTACAGTGTGTATGAGGTTTATTAGTTTTGCTATATACGAACTCAAAACCCGTGTGTGCACGGCGCGAAGCTGATGGATCATTGCCGAATCAGTTTCATGGCCCAACTATTTTCTTTAGAAAAGGCCCAATAGTAGAAGAGGTAACGGGTAAGCAGCAACATACAGAGGAAAATAATAAGTCGGACCAGCAGCCCACTACTCCATGGGCAACAGCCCAAACTGAGGCCTTCATCGCTCAACTCGACACTGTTTATTGTTCTAAAAAAAACTCAACATTGTTTATACCCGGAAATTCCATGTAAATTAATTCCCCTCAAAAAAAGTAAAAAGAATTATTATTGCTCAAAAAAGGTAAAACGAATTATTATCTCTTTGATCCAAACAGGACTTAAGGGAGCGGACCTCTACCGCTAGCCGTATGGGTTACCAAGCCCGTTGCGTGTACCTAGACTAGTTTTAGTTTCACACGAGCCCGTAGTATGGGTTACTAATAAGGGGTGTTTGGCATAGCTCCTTCACAGAGGCTATCCTATCCAAAACAACTCTAGCTCCTTTATTTTTCTTTGAAAAGCAGCTCCTCCTACAAAAAGTTTGGTAGGGCTTCTAAGTAGCCCTACCAAACATTCCCCTAAAGAAATCAGACGGCTGGTAGATAGGAAAAGTGGTTACAAAAAGCTGTTGTTCGTTCTACCATATAAGGGTGGTGATCTCCATCCTCGTTGCTCATATCTGACCTCGAGTTTAGGATCTAACATGAGGCGCATCAATAGCATGATGACGACGACCATGTTGTGCGCTATGCTTTTCGGACAAGCGCAATGTAAGTATATGTGATGATGGTTGCTGTTGCTGCTGCTTCTATTATATATAATGATGATCTTAGATTTTAAAAAAAAATTATTGCCACTTGACATTGCAAGAGTGCAGGTCCAACTGTGCGACATGCAGGCCCAAATGCCCACCACCGCCATCTCCTTAATCGTGAGATGGCATCAAGCGAGAACAACGAAGCTCGATGCAGCATGGATATATACATCGAGGTGCATGCGTGTATGTGTGCGTGTGTGGCTGTTTAATAGTACTACGGATGCTAGTACTTGTCACTTCATTTGTATGCATGTATGAGGGTTCACTTATTACTCACTATTTGTCTCCTTTATCTGGAGGTAGACGAGACGGAGCTGATGAGAAATTAAGTAAACCCATAGAACGTAATGACCTTGTACTTCTATGTATGTACAACCTACTTCAAATATAAATATGAGTAAAGTACAGGTCTTTTATCATAATTCATATAAAAATATATACATACATCCACATGCATGCCCTTTTCTAAGTTGATAATTATGTTTATGTACGAGGTTTATTAGTTTTGTTATTTGCTATAGCTATGTGATTGTGTCAAAACTCAAAACCCGTGTGCACGGCGCGAAGCTGGTGGATGATTCCCGAATTTAGTTTCATGGGCCAACTATTTTTTTTTCTCAGGGAAGGCCCAATAGTAGAAGACGTAACGGGTAAGCAGCAACGCACACAGGAAAATAATAAGTCGGGACCAGCAGCCCACTACTCCATGGGCAACAGGCCAACTGAGGCCTTCATCATATCGCTCAACTCGACAATGTTTATACCCGGAAATTCCATGTAAAAAGAATTAATGCCCCTCAAAAAATGTAAAAAGAATTAATATTGCTCAATAAAATGTAAAAAGAATAATGGCTGAAAATGAATGCTTCTTTATTATAATTGGTTTGTATGCAACCTCTGAAATAGTGAAATGAGACCCCTAGATTCGAAGGCCTGCATTTTTTTAATTGCAAGATGACGCGCACACACAAAAACAACATGGTTAGAGTAACTTCAAGAGACTTTTTATATCCTTCATAATTTATAGGATAGAGATTTTGATAAAGAAAAACTCCCCAACAACCTCTTTAACCAGATCTTCAAATATAAACATCCTCTATTCTAGATTTCTCGCTAGCCAACGATGGAAATTAAAGCGAGGATGAATCAGAGTGCGCATAAAGATATAGTAAAACTATTGAAGGGTACAAAGATAACGATTTTTACTCAAATGACTCTCCAAATGATGATTTAAAGAGTAGATTTTAGAATTAGACTCTTGAAGATGCTCTTACTCACCCACTAACACGTGCCACAATTTAAATTAAACCTAGTACTAGTAGGTAACATGGTATCCTCCCTTCTGTGCCACCATGCCAAGAAAGTGTGGTTCCGATCCCTATTTATATGATGGAACTTTTAATTTAATGTGACCCCTCCGTCCCACGCAAAGATACGATTTATAGCTTATTTCAATAAAATTAATTATGAAGACAACTGGCATCACTGCCCTCGGTTACTACCAATATCTCGAAAAGTCCCTGTTATTAGTCTCTCTAGAGCTAAAACTAACACTACTACATAAAAGCTCTTTGCGAGATACTGCCTAATCATTAAAGGAGGCGAATACTGCCTTATAAGGTTTATGTAACAAAAATCATCCTCTCCAACAATCCTCTTATTGAACATCTTATATTTAGTGGTATTCTAAATTATCCCCTCCCCCTTTTAAATTTAAAATGCAATAGTCCAACCTATGTATTATTTGAGATATGGTAACTGTTGATGAAGAGAAATATTTAGATATGATTATTTTCTGTTCGAATGTACCCCTCACTACTGGAAACGTGAATTTTCCTGACAGTGCCTATATAAGAATTTAGGAGAATTAAGTTGAGAAAAAAAATCTTGGAAATGCTGTAAGTCCTCATAACCGATGCGATCAATGCAAGGTGCTAACCGCGGTTGAGGGAGGGAGGTTGGTCAAGGGATTAGGTGGATAGATAGTGTGAGACGGGTGAGTGCGAGGTTGGAGAGAATAGAAATGGGTTGAGACAAGTTTAGAATGTTAAAAATGTACTCTTTCCCTTTGTGGAACGGAGAGAACGTACAATAGTTAGTTCATGCATGGCTGGCAACTACCTCACCAGAATTTTCAGGCTACCATCAAGATGTGCGAACATGCATGTTACACGTTCATCAATGCAAAGTAAAGCTAATGTAATAAAGGCGAGAACTTAATAGTGTCTTTTGCTTTTGCTTTGCTCTATATCTATCAACAACTGCAATTCTATGGATCTATTGCATGCGCAGTATGTACGATCGGCGACATAGGAATTGAAGGCAGTTAATTGCTAATAGTATGTCTGGGTTGTGAAAAATGGTTGGGACGTGATGCCCTCTCAGCTCTCAGGCTCACGACTTCGTGTTAATATAGCCAGGAAGAGTCCTTGGCGTGACGGTACAACTTGTACAACAAGAAGAAACTAACTATTTTTGGTAATTCTAGATTATATCACAAGATTACATTAATCAGGAGATATCTATCATATCTAACCGAAACCGCGATACTTGCCTTCACCCGCAATCCAAGCCTGAGCGCACAACCAATCTTCAGGAGATATCAATCAACCAGATATTGCGGTCATGTGATCCTATTGGATATTCTTAACATCCCCCTCAATCACAACTTATCAGCGATGTTGAGATTGTCTCAGAACATGACCATTTGCTTCTCTGGAAGAGGCTTAGTGAAGTCATCGGCGATCTAATCCGTAGTGCTGATGAATCTGATGTCTAGGCGCATTGCTGCAACTTGTTCACGTACAAAATGAAAATCGATCTCTATATGCTTGATGCGTGCATAAAATACAGGGTTAGCCGATAGGTACTTTGCGTTAAGATTATCACACCATAAACATGCTGCCAAAGGATGTGGAATACCTAACTCATCAAGTAATTTTTGTACCCACATTACCTCTGCAGTAGCGTTGCCCAAAGACTTGTATTCAGCTTCTGTACTTGATCTTGAAACCGTAGGCTGTTTTCTTGCGCACCATGACACTAGGTTGCAACCTAAGAATACAGCAAAGCCGCCTGTAGATCGTCTGTCATCAGGGCAACTGGCCCAATCAGCGCATCTAAAAAAGCACTTACAAGCATAGAGTTAGATTTTCTAATTTTTAACCCTAGGTCGATTGTTTCTTGTACATATCTCAATATTCTCTTCACAGCTTCTCAATGAACGGTCGTCGGTGAGTGAAGGAATTGACAAACTTTGTTGACCAAAAAAGACAGATCTGGTAGTGTGAGGGCGAGATACTGGAGAGCTCCAACAATGCTCCTGTATCTGGTTGAGTCCTCCACTCCTAACCGAGTGACACTAGTGATTGAAAGCTTTTCGGTAGTATTAAGGGGTGTTTTGATGGGTTTACACAGCTGCATATTAACTCTCTTAAGGATATCAGAAGCATACAGTTCCTGTGTCAAAAGCAATTCACCTTTCTTTCTTTGAACCTGTATGCCAAGAAAATAGTGAAGGTTCTCGAGATCTTTGATTGCAAAGTCCTCTAAATCTCGGAGAAGAGCATCCACTGCTTGCTGTGATGAACTGGCCACAATTATATCATCAATATATATAAGCATAAAGATGACATGATTTCCTTTCCAATAAAAGAATAATGATGTGTCAGCTTTGGAGGGAACAAAACCTAGACTCTGAAGTTTACCACACAACCTAGAATACCAGGCCCATGGTGCTTGTTTTAAACCATACATGGATCTGTCAAGTTTGCATAAGTGATGTGGTTTGGTCTTATCTTCATAATCTGGCGGCTGTTTCATGTATACCTCTTCTTCAAGGAAACCATGCAAGAAAGCGTTCTGAACATTGAGTTGCCTCAAACACCAATCCTTAGACATAGCTAGAGAGAGCACAAGACGAATTGTGGCTGCTTTCACAACAGGACTAAAAGTATCCTCATAATCAATGCCATATCGTTGTTTGAACCCCTTTGCTACTAGGCGTGCCTTATATCTGTCAATTTCCCCATCTGATCTTCTTTTGATTTTATAGACCCACTTGCAATCTATCACATTTTTACCTTTTTGAGGTGGAACTAGATGCCAAGTTTTATTCCTGATTAATGCATCAAATTCAACATCCATAGCACGCTTCTAATTATTACCGACTAAGGCATGTTGCAAATCAATAGGACCTTCAGTGGTGGCTGCTAACTGACCATATCGAATAGTTCCATCAGTGTAAATTTTTTGTTTGCGTATACCTTGTTGTAGACGTGTGGTGGGTCGCTGGAGAGCCGGTGCTGCAGGCGATGTAGAAGATTCGGTGGGTTGATCTGTGGCTGGCACAGAAGATCCGGCGAGCGAAGATCCGGTGGGTTGATCTGTGGCTGGCGCAGAAGATCCGGCGAGCGGCCCAGCAAGCGGCGGACCCAAGGGAGATTCTCCACCACCGGTCGAAATATCCTGTCCCCCGTCCGCGGAGCCAGGCGAGGCGAGTTCGAGACAGGTGGCGCACGCGGAGAGGATGCCGGTGGAGCTGACGCGTTCGTCACGAGCGCAGGAGCTGACGCCGCCGGATCCAAGACTGATCCTGTCGGCTCCATAGTGGAAGGTGCAGATGAATCAGCCTGGGGATCGCCGCATGTTCCTGCCAAAACAGAAAATTGCTCGGGGAGCATGAAATGACACCCGTTTCTAGCCAAATTTAGTTCGTTTGACGCTGAAATTTTTTCATGTGCTGCACGCTTAGACATAGGATTAGTATGCATGGAATCATTATCAAAATTATCTAAAGAATTGTCGTCCCCAAAATCATGTGAAGGATTTGTCAAAGTTGAAGGAAGGAGGAGAATTTCAGATCGTAATCGAGCACCGGCGTTTGGGTGGAGTTCGGCGAAGGGGAAGACGTGTTCATCAAAGACCACGTCTCGGGGAATATAGACACGCCCTTCATTGACATCTAGACACTTGAACCCCTTGTGTATGTTACTGTATCCTAGGAAGACACAGCGTTTGGAGCGGAATTGCAACTTGCGAGCGTTATAAGGCCGTAGATTCGGCCAGCATGCGCAGCCAAAAGTACGAAGAGAGGAGTAGTCTGGTGTTTGATGAAACAGGCATTCAAGAGGAGTTTGGTCATTGATAATTTTACTAGGGAGGCGATTAATAAGATAGGTGGCAGTGATGAAAGCTTCATCACAAAATTTTAAGGTCATAGAAGCATGGGCTAAAAGCGAGAGACCTACTTCAACAATATGGCGATGTTTGCGTTCAGCAGAGCCATTTTGTTGATGTGCATAAGGGCATGAGACATGATGCGAGATGCCAATGCGCTGAAAGAAGGCATTCAGCTTTTGATATTCCCCTCCCCAGTTAGTTTGCATAGCGAGAATTTTTCTATCAAATTGGCATTCAACCAAAGCTTGGAATTCATGAAATTTTTGAAAAACTTCATATTTATGACGAAGCAAATAAATCCATGTAAACTTGCTGAAATCATCAATGAAGCTAACGTAATAACTGTTTTTGCCAACAGAAGTGGGCGCAGGACCCCATACATCAGAAAACAAAAGTTCTAAGGGACTCAATGAGATACTCGTGGATCTAGGATAGGGTAGCTGATGACTTTTGCCCTTTTGGCAAGCATCGCAAACAGTTTCTTTATTCAAATCGGCAACAAAGGGAATACTATTTTTGCTAAGGACTTGCTGAACGACTGCAAAAGAAGGGTGCCCGAGACGACTATGCCACCTGGACGAAGGTGACTTGACAGCACCAAATGCCCCTTTATTCAATGACGGCCTAGACTTCAACGGGTAGAGGCCGCCTTCACATTCCCCTCTAAGGATGGTTTTCTTCATCACCTGGTGCTTAATCAAAAAATAGTTGGGATGATATTCAATAAAAGCATGGTTATCGGATGTAAGACGATGAACAAATGTAAGGCTTTTGTTAGCTTTAGGAACATAAAGAACATTGTTTAGGACGAGATTTTGATTTGGGGTACGAACAAAACTTCGACCAATTTGATTGATTCTCATACCTGCGCCATTAGCTGCATGAACCTTGTCGTTTCCATGATACTTGTCCCTCACGGTGAGCTTCTCCAGCTCTCCCGTGATGTGGTCGGTAGCACCAATGTCGGTGTACCAGTTGGTGTCGATCCCATATGACGCAGATGAGGCAGATCGGGATTGCTCTGGTGGGCCGGTGAAGGAAGCGTCAAAACGCTTGAAGCAGCGGAGTCCGGTGTGGCCCTCCTTGCCGCAGAGCTGGCAGATGGGTTTATCGCCGTTGTAGTTCTGCCGGGGGCGCCCGCTGTTGTTGTTGTTGCCACAGTTGCGGCCGCGCCCGCATCCTCGGCCACCACCGTCGCGATTGAAACCGCCACGGTCTCCACGTGTAGCCGTGTTAGCAGATGAACCAGATCCACCGTGCAGGAGATCCATCCGCTGTTCCTAGCTCACTAGCTGGGTGTAGAGATCGCCCAAAGATAGCGGCTCCGTGCGCGCCGCGACAACCGAGACAATCGGATTAAAATCCATGTCAAGTCCTGCTAGTATATAGGAGATGATCTCTTCATCTTTAAGACGTTTGCCGGCGACCGCCATGTCGTCAGCAAGAGATTTCATCTTGTTGAAGTAGTCGGCGATTGTAGACGAGCCCTTCTGCGCTGTGGCCAACGCCATGCGCGTGTTGATGATACGGCCCCGAGACTGGGAAGCCGTCATCTCTAAGATCACTTTTCAGATCTCGGTCGATGTGGCGCAATTGGAGACTTGCACTTGGATCTCCTTGGAGATATTGGAGAGCAGATAGTTAACGATCTGTTGGTCCTTCGCAACCCAAGTTTCATACTCAGGGTTGGGGATGAGCTCAGTCGGCTTGTCGGTCGCCTTGGGGATCTGCTTCGCCGGCACCACAATGTCGGGCTCGAGATAGTGCGCTATCTGCGCACCGCGAAGAGCAGACATCACCTGGGTGCTCCATAGGGGAAAATTCTCTTTGCCCAGCTTCTCGGTGACAGGACAACCGATTAGAGAGAACGATTGTTGAAGCGCGGAAGAGGAAGCCATCGAGAATATTATGGACTAACCTAGCTCTGATTACCATGTGAAAAATGGTTGGAACGTGATGCCCTCTTAGGCTTACGGTTTTGTGTTAATATAGCCAGGAAGAGCTCCTGGCGTGGCGGTACAACGGTTTTGTGTTAATATAGTCAGGAAGAGCCCCTGACGTGGCGGTATGACTTGTACAACAAGAAGAAGCTAACTACTTTAGGTAACTCTAGATTACATCAATCAGGAGATATCTATCCTATCTAACCGAAGCCGAGATACTTGCCTTTACCCGTAATCTAAGCATGAGTGCACAACTAATCTTCAGGAGATATCAATCAACCAGATATTGATCCTATTGGTAACATGGGTCATCCGTACGTGTTGCCACACGTTCATTCAGCTAGCCTAGCAGTATGTGTAGCGTAGTTCCAAAGTTGAACACGTCTTACGTGTTCATGCGCGCGTAGCAGATTGACCGAGGTGAGGCGAGGATTCATGAGCTAGCCCAAGCCCCATGCATGCGTGCTGGATACTTGCGTGGCGCTACAACGAGACTACGACGTGCTCATCGTCTACAAAACTCGTATAACTTCGTTGATTTTTAGAAAGACGATTGAGATGTATATGTTGTAGCTTTTAAGGGTGTGCGTGTGTGATTGTGTGAATGCGTTGTGTTAGTATAGATACTGCAACTATGCTGGGAGTCATGCTTAAAAAAATAAAAGGTACGTAGCGTGTGTGTCGTCACGGCTCACGGGCGCGTCGTATTCGTAGCATGGAAAAGACTGCACATATCCCATCGTGCTGCAGCTAGCTGTGTCCGAATGCAGGCTTTGTTTAGATTGCCTCAAAATTCTAAGTTTTTTCACTTTTTTTTCATCACATCAATTTTTGACGCATGTATAAAGCATTAAATGTAGATAAAAAAATAACTAATTACACAGTTTGGTTGTAAATCACGAGACGAATCTTTTGAACCTAGTTAGTCTATGATCGGACAAAATTTGTTAAATACAAACAAAACGTGCTACAGTGTCCAGATTACAAAAATTTGCAATTAAATAAAGCCGCAAACGAGCAGTCACAGGCACCACAACAGTCCACAGGGCTGGCGCAGGGTTTTGTTTCTAGTACGTACCAAGAGTCCGAATGCAAACGAGCAGGTTCACGTGCATGCATTCATCTCCTCGTCGCATCGCATCGCATCGCATCTCATCAAACGTACGCTCCCCTGGTTGGTGCGTGCTCAACCACCGCTGCTGCAGTAACACTGCACCTGCACCTGCACTCACTCATGATCAGCTCGCCAGCCGGCCGGCCCACATCATCAGATTTCCAGCTAACACACATATAGTACTACACTCTCCAAGTGATGAGTTACCAAGGCCCTATTTATACCCCACCCATGGCACCACCTTGCTCCATCCATCACAGCTAGCTAGAATTCCTCACCACACACTATCTACAGTCTACACTCCACTTACCACACACCAGCAGCTCATCACCCACTGCTCTGTCCTGCAATGGCTCGCCTCGCCCTGGTCGCCGCGGTGGCGGTCCTGGCGCTGCTGGCAGCATCCGAGACGGCATCGGCGGCGGTGAGCTGCAGCGAGGTGACCTCGTCGGTGGCACCGTGCCTCAGCTACGCGATGGGCACCGCGCCGTCCCCCTCCGCGGCGTGCTGCAACGGGGTGCGCTCGCTCAACAGCCGCGCGTCGTCCACGGCGGACAGGCAGGCGGCCTGCGCCTGCCTCAAGAGCATGACGAGCAGGCTCGGCGGCGGCGGCGGCAGCATGGGCAACGCTGCCAGCATCCCCGGCAAGTGCGGCGTCACCGTCGGCGTGCCCATCAGCCCCAACGTCGACTGCTCCAAGTACGTAGGACCGAGAGCCCACTGTCCATTAATTAATGTCCATGCATGCATGCACTGATGAGTAATTTTCTGGTAACTGAAGTGCTAACCATGGATTGATGATATATTTCGTGTTATGTGCATGATGCAGGATCAACTGATCGATCCTATAAGAAGTAGCATGCATGCTCGTTGGATGGCGATCATCATGCAGTCGTTGTCGTAGCAGATGCCAGATGTCCATGACTCCATGGATGATGATGAGATAGATACATAAAGGAGTAGGGTCATGCACCCGTTAGGTGATCACTCCGTTTAGTTATTTACTATTTACTACCTTTGGTTTACACGGCCTCTGTCGCTGTCGTCGTGTACCTCGTACTACGTGTGTGTAGCTGGCAGGCTAGCTAGCAGAGCAGCACTCAATGTCGTCCTTGGGTTTGTTGGCTCATCTTTGTTTTCGTTTACTGCCTTTAAGCTTGTTGCTTTGGCACAGGTTTCTGAATAATGAATATGAATACTACTAGCTTTTGTGTCCATTATATATTGTACTATATATGCATGTTTTTCCATCCATGAGTCATCATGAGTGATGCGGCGTTCAAGTAATATATACACGCGACTATTTGCTCATTAGACCTAGGATTTATACTATATAGACCTAGGATTTTATGGTCTGGAGTGAAAGATAAAAGATAAAATTGGGGTCTTTAGATTATTCCATCATATATAACAGCATACAATTTTAATAAAAATAATTATAATAGGCATTAATGACAAAGGAGTAAAGGACAAATCTATCTTACCAATATCTTTAATTTTTAACTTCTCCTGCCACTCCCCTAAAGAACATCATCATTGGTTTTTGTATTCTTTGACATGAAATCCTCAATTGTATCTTCATATTTAACCTTACCTCTCTAAGCATTCACAGAACCAGTAGACAAGAATCCACCCTAGGTGTGTTCAGTACACTAAGTCAAAAGTTACATTTTTTTTAGATAAATGATAGTTCATATCCGGCTTCATCTATCTACCGATAGAATCAGGCTAATTATTACAAAGTTTGGCCCGTAGGCTAGCACGCGAGCTGTAAAGAGTCTCCAACTTATAGCCAAACACACGAATGAACAAAACGAAATAGAAGTCTTGACTAAATGAGACAATATGCTTTTGACAAGGACTGATGACTCATTGGTCCCGTGATCATCAACGGTATTGCGGAGCCAGGAGGAACTTGTTGTGATTTTGGTCTAATTTGTCGTCGTTATCCAAACTGCCCAACATTTTTTTTAATAACAATGAATTATAATCGGCCATCTTTGACTATTAAATAGGTCATCTATACTCATTTGGCTGATTGTTCATCAAGACAATCCAAAAAAGGTGTTGAATGGTTTCGAGAGAGTGACAAAAGCTACACCTCGTGTCACCATTCCAGTTTACTTGGCAAGGTTGTCCTTAGTTAAAATCACCCCTTTTTAGGTCCACAAAATATTTTTAATCTCATAGAAACTTTAATGTGCCATAAGTCTTGTGACATTCTCACCCAAATCAACGAGCAGCTTTGATAGAAAAACTTCCTGATGAATGTGGCGCCCAAACAAAAGCAACCCTCCTGTATAAAAGAAGCAATCTCTAGGAATTTCTTAGGTTCGTACACAAATTTCGAAAAAGAAATTTTAATGAACTAAGAACCAATGCCACGTAGTCTTGTTTTCTTCTTACAATATTAAACAACGCAGAAATTTATCTTTAATTTCCCAACCAAGTGTCTACCCAAAATCGGGTTTATGACAGCAGGTGTCTTTGACATTCATCAAGCTTTTCCGAAATGAGAGTCTGCTAGTTTTTGACACAACTCCCTAGAGTCTTATCTTTTCAAAAGTTCACGCCACATGCCATGCTCATTCAACAATTTAAAAGCCATTTACTCAACAAGCACTTGTTTTGTATATCCAAATCACGTATACACAAACCACCACTGAATTTTTGGTTGACACAAAATTTCCCATTTAGCTAATCTATATTTCCGCTTGGTTGGTCGAATAGAATCTTGATCTAAAACAGTTTTTTTTCTAACACACCTCTTGGGAGTTCGAAGAAAGACATCATAAACATCGGTAAAGTAGAAAGCCTGTTTATTAAGACCAAACGACCTCCAACCGAAAGCATTTTACCTTTCCACCCACTAAGCCTCTTTTCAATTACGTTCTCAATCGTTTGCCAATCTTTATTGTTTAGTTTCCTAGTGTTCATAGGTAAGCCAAAGGTAACGAAAGGGTACTCCCCAATCTCACATCCAAACACCTGCGAATAAAACACTTCATGGTCTTTAGCTTTACCAAAACAAAATATTTCACTTTTGTGGAAGTTTATCTTAAGCCCTGATAGTTGTTCGAAAGTGCTAAGTATTAGTTTCATATTTATCGCCCCCAACATCATGGCTCACAAAAATCACCGTGTGGCCAGGATAGACAAACCATCTTGAATAAGATGAGGCCCTTCAACTTGATTCAAGCAGGTAAATAGTATTTTGGGTCACGTAAGCCTTTTCTTGTTTGGTAGGATCGTTGGTCATTAACCTTCCCCATTTGTGTCAAAACCCTTTCATCCTTAGAGTTTGTTGTAGAAAACTCCATTTTACCTTATCATATGCCTTTTCAAAATCAATTTTGAAAATAACCCCATCCTATTTTTTGAATGAAGTTCATGTATCGTCTCATGGAATTATCGCCCCTCCATAATATTTCTACCGGGAGAAAGGCCTAATAATCTTACAGGCTATGGCGGATAATCTATTGGTTGCAACTTTGGTGAAGATTTTGAAAGAGACATTCAACAAACATATTGGCCTATTATTGAATCACTTTCGATCCTTCTTTTTGGGTAACAAAATTATGGTTCCAAAGTTAAGGCTATTCTAAAATCATGAAATTACTAAAAAAGCCATCAATCTTTATTAAAGTCCGAAGACTGATAAAACTCGGAGGAAACCATCCGGTCCAGCCTTAGCCATTTGGAAGATCGCAACCCTCACCTCATCTTCTAAAAATCATCACAAATACTCATTTTCTAGAGCTACATGTGGAATGTCCTCGATCAGCTCATCCAACATGATGGGAGAGTTCTCCGATGGACCAAACAGGTTCTTATAATAATTGGTGATATGCATTTTGAGTGAGCATCACCACTTATTATATTATTCTCATCCTCCAACTGGAAAATATGAGTTTTTCGATGTCTACCGTTTGCTAACAGGTGATAGTATTTTGTATTTGCATCACCCTCTAGAAGATCTTTCACTTTAGCCCTTTGATACCATTTAAGTTCTTCCTCTCGAAGTAATTGAGCAAGTTTTAGATTAAATTCCATTTCACTAAGCATAGAAGTTTCTGCCTTTTTATCCAATTAAATTAGTTTATTTAGAAGTGTCATTTTTCTTTCTTGTAAGCACCACTTACATTTTTTGCCCATCCTCCGAGGTATTGGCATAGCCTTCTGATCTTAGCTTGCCACCTCTCTAAAGGAGTGCCTTCGACTAATAAACTATGCCACACATCTTACCATGTCACAAAATTCATCTCTCAAAGAACCACCCCAATTCAAATTTAAATTGGGGTTGATAAGATGAAGATGGATTATTTGTGCAAAAAAATAGCGGAGTGTGATCGAAATCTCTCTAGACAGTGCATGTACTGCGATAGTATGCTTGGATACTTGGACTCAAAATCTGTACAAACCAAGATCCTATCTAATTTTTGAAGGTCTGATTTTGTAAATGAAGCTCTAGTAAACTTTATTTCTACATTTTTATTTCTCACGAGATTTAGAGTGTCAATCACGATAACATGAAAGGCCATCTATCATTGTAGTTGTCATTATTTTTCTCATCCGGTCTCTGAATAGAGGTGCTTCTTTTGAACATACTACTTTGAACTATAAGAAATTTGATTTGTGATCTAGTCTAGTTGCGCCGCCCATAAACTGAAATCAAATTAAACTTAAAATCATCTTCTTTGTGAAGTACTTTGAAGCGAATAAAAATCCCTTCTTCAATTTCACCAATCTCTGAACAGTTGATACCTAGAATCATGCCACCGGACCAAACCATATGGCGCAGCCATGCAATGCAAAGAAAATCTCTGATATTATTCAAAGTGGATTGGGAAAGTTGGCTCTAACTCTAAAGCAATAAAATCTAAGTTCTTTTTCTTTTGTTAGGTCGAGAGGTTTTTAGGATCAACTCCCGTTGCAATTCCAAAAATACCTTTCATCTAGACTTGTTTTTAAAATTTTCTTATATCTAGAGCGTGATTTTTGTTTTTTTGTGATACAGAAGAAGGAAACACAAAGGGTCACAGCCCCCATCTAGCCCTTGAATCCAAATTAGATTTAAAGGTCTATGTTAGGCCCATCAACATCATCCAACAAAATTTTGTTTCCCTCCACTAACATGTCATTCTCATTCATTCTATGAAATTCTAGATCTCTTAAAGGGGCGACACTGCTTGTTCATTATCCCCAAGAACAACCCCTAACGAATTAGTTGTAGCTAACAAAAAAGAATCATCGAGTATGAAAAGAGTTTGGCGAGTTCCTTTACCTTTGCACGCAAGAGGAATCCAAGTTTTTGTCCGTTTCGTTGCCTTCTCCAAAGTCTTGGTCACATCCTTTTGCTTGATCTCATAGGTGACACTGCCTGCTATCAATCCAGAGTCATTCTGTCCCCTTCCATTGGCCAGTCCTTTGCTATCATCCCACTTTGAGTAAGCACTATCACTGGCTCCCCCACACTGCTGAGGCTCCTCACCATGGTGGTGTGCACCTCCTTCCCTGCGGCACTGTGCCCAGGTAGCTTTACCAGGCATTGGTGTTCCTCCTTCATCCCCTCTTTTCCCCGTTGGGTTTATCTTCATCCATGGTAGAGTCCATGTCAATAACCCAAGCTCACCATTGGGCATATCTTGCTCAACACTAAATTGTAGCTCATAAACAAAATCCCCAATCCTACATCCACTAGGTGCTGGGATGAGATTAGGATCCAACCTCCATTCTTGCTCGACCAAACTTCCCATCCTGTCTTGCCCAAATAATAGAAAATTCCCAAAATTCCTTTGGTAAACCACGAGAACCCAAACCTCCCAATCCTAATGTAGAC